GGGAAAGAATGCATATCCCTTATAATTGTAATTTTATTTCAGATGTTTGAGGTTTATGAGCCAGGAGTGCATGTAAATGTTGTAAAGTTTGCCATTTTTTATGAACTGATTTTGGCAGGTTTCACTAATCTGCAATAGCAAGAGATGAACCTTTACGTTGGTTTTCACATTTAACAATCCCTTCTAAAGCCACAAATGAACAAAACCCCAAAGACACTCCTCTGTTGTTAAAGTGTTTTTTAAAATTCTTTTCAGTTTTTCAGTGGCATCAGCTTGAAGTTGTCACAAGCATTAGGACTGCCTTAGAACTCAGCTAGTTAAAAGTCTGGTTTAGCATTGTACCTGTCCATTAAAAATGTCAGGCATGGGCATATGTGTCCAAAATCCTCTTCAGAAGTTCAGTTTCAAGAGATGGTACATTATAAAATAGATGTGTCCTGGAAGGAAAAGAGGGAAAAGCTTTTCTGTCTCAGTGGGTCTGGTTTCTTCACTGCTGCCATGGTTAAATTTGACTGCATCAAAAAGGGTTCTGACTTCAGGGCTTACAGAATTGCTTTGCCCCCCTGTGCCCTATCCTGATAGAAACTCAACATGAGGTTTAAGTTAGGTTTTTCCCAAGAGGCTGCTAATACCTTATTGCTCTCTACAACTACCTGAAAAGAGATTGTAGTGAGGTGGGGGCCGGTCTCTTCTCCCAAGTAACAAGTGATAGGGCAAGAGGAAATGGCCTCAAGTTGTGCCAAGGGACAATGTATGGACAATTTACAACATTGGTTTTAATCAAGGTAGAAATTTCAAGGAGTTAGTCCAGCTCATAGCTACTGGAACTGTTTAATACACAGCAAAGATTGATCTTAACTCAGGAAAATGAGGAGAAGCTATACTATATCATTCATATCAGGGTAATTGTTAATAACTGTTAATTTTTAAATACCTCCAAGGATGGTGACTCCACCACTTCTATGGGCAGCCTATTCCAATGTTTTATAACCCTTTTTCTTAATATCTAATCTAAACCTCCCTTGGGACAACTTGAGGCCATTTCTTCTTGTCCTATCACTAGTTACCTGGGAGAAGAGACCAGCCCCCACATCACTACAGCCTCTTTTCAGGTAGTTGTAGAGAGTGATAAGGTCTCCCCTCAACCTTCAGGCTGAACAGCCCCAGTTCCCTCAGCCACTCCTCACAGGACTTATTTTCTAGACCCTTCACCAGCTTTGCTGCCCTTCTTTGGACACGCTCCATGTATGTAGAGACCTCACAAACTGGCTGAAGTGCTGTTACCTTATTGGTGTATCTGTTCTTAATACCAGGCTAGCAACCCAAACAGAGGCAGAATAAACTGGTAGTGCCCTTGTAGGCATTTTTAAGGAGCTTAAACACCTAAGTGGCAAAAAGCATTAGACTGTAGATCACTTGAGTGCTTGGATGGAATCAGCTGTGTTGTAACTAATTCATGGAGCTGAGCTGTACCTTTATCATCACTCCTGTTCACAGAGGCAAACCTGTGTAACATAACAGGCTGCTAAAAGTTTTAGGCTTTTGTTTTTAAAAGATAAGCTGATTTTAATTGTATCCTTTTCTCTGCAGACTTTGTGACTATAAAACTCTGTGTGCAGAGGAGAGAATATATTAAAAAAGCATAGTAAGAAAAGAGAAAGACCTTTAATATAGACAAGATTCTTATCTCTAGGTCCATCTTCTCTCAAGGATATCTATTAAGCATGGTTGTAAGCAAACTAAAAGAAGTAGTTCTTTATGTGATTTGCAACTACTGTTGATGGTAGTGCACTGTGGGCATGAGAACTCATAATGCTTTCAAACAGATCCTGACAATTCTGAGGAGAGATGTAAGAAAATTTAATCTGGCTTTTAAGCTTGAAAATTAAAGTGGACGTGGTACTGTAATTTTAAGTCTGCTGAAACTAGAATTTGGATTAAAATTATACTTGCATGGTTTCACCAGTTCTGGTATGTTTGCCTCATCCATGGAAATTTA